GCGCCGCGAGGTGCCCGCCCAGGGCAAACTTGGCAGCCCTCTCCTCCCTCTACCCGCCCCCCAGGCAGAAGATGCCGGTGCAAATTCAACCAGCAGCAAAGGTAGGATCCCCCCACCTCCGGCTCTCCTCTCGGGGTGCGCTGGGGCCGAGCGGGAAGGGTGACCCAGCCGAAGCCAGAACCCTGCCAGCAAGTTGGCCTTCAGCGCCCCCCACCAGCCGAGCCCCCGCCCGGGCCCGCCCGCACCCCCAGCCCGGTGGGCGCCGAGGCGGCGCTTTGCCGACCAGCCCACACCTAGACAGTCACCAAGTGACAGTCACAGTGATCGGTGCTGGGAGCGAGAGGGACGCGCTGAAATGAGATCACCTCTGGGGTGGCCCAGTTTAGCTCGCCGTCCGGATCCTCTCTTTGATTCCTCTTCAAATAAAGTTTGGAAGCACAGGCTCTCGGGGTGGGAGCGGGGGTGGCTTTCCCGGCGAGAACCAGGGCGGATCTTCTGGGGCTAACGATGGCAATCCTGCGCTCGGCCAGGGTTATTACTGCTGCTGCTGCTATTGCAGCCGCCGGCGGTTCCGCGGGAGAAAGAGGTGGCTTCCTCCCGTAAAGAGTAACAGTATCAGACACCCACAGGGGCAGGTCTACCCTGCCCTATGGGGTCGCTAGGGGATGGCAGTGAGATGCGAGGATACGGGTATGTATCAGATGTGGCTCAAGTGTAGATTTTATTGACCACCCCCACCGCCTCTAGGAGGTAGGTGCTCTTCCTACCCCCCATTTTACGATGAAGGAAACTGAGGCACAGGGTGGTAACGGCCCCTGGCCAAAATCTGGAAGCGGAGGTCTTGGGTCTCAAGCCCGGCCGTGGTGCCCTCTGTCCGTTTGGCCATCTCTCCTCCTCCCACTCCAAGACCCTTCCTGACCACCCCCCAGCCCCACCCCAAAGGTACACACTGCTACCTTGGGTGGGCCGCTCACACGCAGACTGCTCCAGCCGCTCGGGGCTCCCGGGCGGCCCCAGCCCTCCCTCCCGGGCGGTGGCATGGTGACATGAGGGCCGCGCTGGCCGCCTCCCTGTCTTGCCTCCGCATTCTCGCTGCCTCTCGCTTCCCAGGACCGGGGAGCCCGACGAAGAGGAGGGAACTTTCCGCAGCTCCATCCGCCGTGAGTGGGGTTGGGGGCGGACGGGGAGGCTGCAGAACGACTGTTTTGGATGTAGGGGCTAGGTACAAGGACCCCCCCTTCCAGCTCCTTCTAGCAGGAGGGGCAGATGGGAGTTCTCCCGGCCTTAGAAACCCCTCCCTAGAAGTTGGGGGTGCTTCTCCTGAAACCCTGAACTCTCTGTCTTCCCCCTCCCCACCACCTAGGTCTGTCTAGCCGCAGGCGGTAGAAACACCTGGCGCGATGGAACTGCAGGTGCTGCCGCTGGGACTGGGCTGGGGTGGGGTGGGGTGGTGGTCGGTCGGAAGGAAGCGTAGGGCGGCGTATTGAGGGGAGAGGGGTGACGAGGAGGAGGGTGGTGGGGAAGCGGGGAGTGGGGGATTCTTGCCTCTCATCCTTTTTACACCCCCCCCCTTACAGGATTCTCCTGGCACCTGACACCTTTTGCCCACCTCCTGCGCGCCCACCCTTGCCGCCCGTCCACAGACTACCCCCTGGCACCCAGGCCTCCAATAAAACACGCTT